TTACCACAATCAAGTTGATTTTTCCACTACTTTTTGTTTATGATAGGCACTCCCTGTTTTGAATTTCCCTCCTAAGTATTTTTTCTGATCAAACATTATTTTCATCTACGTCTTCTTTCTTTTTATTTACGAAGTTGACGTTTTTGGTCACAGACTTATCAATACTTTAATTTGTTTCGAGAAAGCTTTCAATTCAATAATACTAATATGAATATTATGTTACTCGTTATCCACACAGGGGAATATAATATAATGAATAGCACTTTTCATATTTTAATCAAATAACATTAATTAGCGCTTTGCCGGTTGTATACTGATCATGATTACTATAGAAAAGAATAAATTATATTCCTTGGAGCTAGGCTATAAATGGCGTACTCTCCGAAATCCGCGAGGCAGGTGTACCAGGGAGGTGAGACTTTAAACTCACATGCCCTGAGTGTACCATGCATTTTCGCACACACACACCATGTCACGTGAGCTCGCCTTTGTTTATTCCCGCCTTTTTCTGTATTATTCATTCAAAAAACGTCTGCTGCGCGCTAGTCAAAACTGTCAGCCGCGCGATCGATTGCCTGCAATAACAAAGGCGGGAGAGTTTATGGCCGGCTTGGTTGAGGCAAGAATGTTAGATACAGGTTGCAATGCATTCTTCGGCTATACACATGTTTTAATGTCAAGCATGCATTGTTTATGAAGTTGCATGAATGTGCACATTCGTTAGTGTGAAGATTGTATTCATCAATCATTCGTCTATCAAAACATAATGGTTACGATCGTCATTGGCGAGAATATATACCTATACAACTACTGTATGTACTACAGCCTAGTGATACGTGATCAGTTGACAACTGGTTAAAAAAAGGTTGTATCATTATGGGCCATGGAATTCGAAGTATGAAGATCCTTGTCCAAATAAATGAATATTTAGTTTTCTCAAGCTTTAGCAGTGTTAAACTTCTGTGGGTTTTGTTATAGGTAAAAAAAAAAAAAAAGAAAGAAAGCAGGAGGCATGTTTATCATTGGTTCTGCTTTTATCTATCAAATTATATCAAGATCGATAAATTGTTAGCATTTTACTGAGAGCGTAATTGTTATCAAATATTATGCCTAATTTACCTTCAAATATCGCTGCATAATAACTGCATATCACAGTAACATTGGTTTCCATATCATGTTGAACACTGCAATTGTATATTTTATTAAAGAAAAATCATGGAACACGATCTGAGACCAAGAAAAATAGAGTTGAATGTTTTTAAAAGTTAAAAATATTACTGGAATAAAAAGAGAGAGTTTTTCGGTACACACGCACTTTTTGTACTTGAATAGATTTGGCCAAGTTTTTATCAAAATGAAATTGAACCGGATCTGTGTTGGAAAAAGAGGGGGAAATCAACCCTCTACGGACGTTTGTTTCCCAACAAAATTCAATATTGCCTCTCACAATCATACCGAATGTTCTCGCATTATCCCACATTTTCTGCTGATGTGGAAGTTTATATAAAGGGGTTAGAATATTGCTTTGATTCTTTCATCAAAACCAGGTATCACGTGATACATTTTGTTGCGTGTGCTTGCTCCCACGAGACTTGTGTGACGTCACGAGTTATTTCAAGAAATGGGAGCTAAATTCGGCCCGAAATTAAACGGCCGACCATCCGATTAGATCATAATCATTTTGGTTGAAAAGATACGCGATCTGTAAAGATATTATGCATCAAGTTGAAACTGCACCGAATACAAATAGCTTACTCTCCCTGAGAAAGTGAATACAGTTTGCCGAAAATTATGTAGTTCTCGTTAATTTAAGGGGCAAGTCGGACTTTCTTCGGGTTATCCCTGGTTCCTGTGCCCCCCCCCCCCCCAAACTCGGAAACTTAGTTTGTTAAAGTTTTCAACTTGACCGTTGTGCTTTCCTGCCACCATAAGTGACAAACAACATTGAACAAGGGAATCGGACCACGGACCTTCCAGGTAGGACACAAGCCACTAGACCACTTGGTCTCTACGGATCCCATTGCCATCAACATGTAGATAATTGATACAGACCGTATACACTTTGATGGAAACGACCATCTACCTACGAACACAGTCGAGTAATTTCTAGAGCGATAAGACTCCGGTTTATTTTCACCATCATCGTAATTAATTGCTGAGTGAATTTTCCTCTCGCAGGCTCTCTCCCCCCTCCAAAATATTTCCACGATAACCTACGGGTTTAGAAGGGGAATGTTCCCATAGGATTCAGTTGTTAGGTTGTTGGTTTGGTGGCGCTGTATACACCAGCGGACGGCGTATAAAGCTTATACAATTGTGGATTGAATGAGTGTAAATCAGCAAAACAACAGGCGATGGGAGTTGGGGGGAGGAGTATGAAATTCATGGTTTCCAAGAATTTAGAAGTACTCTTTTCATTCTAAATCAGACAAGTTAAAGCTAAAGTAAACTGCTACATGCACTTTCCAAGGTGAAAAGTGAAAGCGAAATCAGGCTATACATAAATGTAAATAATAATAATAATAAATTATAAAAGTATTCTTTAATCATGTTTCAGTTTATGTTTCTTCTAACAATTAAGTGTATATCATGAGAACCGAAATGGTGTTTCGAGATTTGAATTATACATAATTGATGTTTAGATATTGAACTTATGAACAACAACAAATATAGAACTAATTTACACGCAACAATCAAAATGCAACCAAAGAATAATTGAATGTAGTATTCTAATTTGGGGCATTCGTTTGTTTTCCAGGACATTGCTTTCCAACTTTTTGGACTGACTGATACATTTGAGCGCTTAACAGATGTGAGTTAATTAATGATAGTCCGTATCAGCATTCGATTACTCTTTGGCCCTGTTTTGGAATATTATCGAGGGCTTAAAAATCTTAACATTTTGGCAGTGGGGAAGGGGTCTTGGGATACGTGGAAAGCTTAGAGGACTCCGATCAGCAGGTAGCGATGCACTAATGGAACACTTCCTTCGACTCTTATCAAGTCAAAACCATGATATTTATGATGAGCTAATGGCTGGTTAACTTCTAGTTAAAGGTTACATGAATTATAAACCACAGGTGCCGATAATATAAGTAGCATGTGCTATTTTTTCAGAAATAATTTTAACTATTTTCCTTGACATATCGACACTTATCGAGTCAATGCTATTCATGATGAGGTACTGGTCGGGTAACTGCTAGTTAAAGGTTGCATATAAACCATAGGTGTTAATAGTATACGGTATTATGTCGAGAAAAAAAATATATTTTTTAATATTATTTTCATATTATTTTCATAACATATCGACTCTTATCAAGTCAAACTCATGGTATTAGGGATGTGCTAGTATAATGTCTAGTTAAAGGTTTCATATATAGCACATATGCCTCTTGTAAATTCTTTGCTGGCTACAACTAGATTTAACTATTTTTTCTCTTGACATATCGATTCTTGTCAGTTCAGACCTATGGTCATGATGCTTATGGTGATATAGATTTCTAGATAACTTCTAGTTGAACGTTTGATATAGTTCACAGATTTTTAGATCATAGATTTGTACTATTATCCTTGACATATCAACTATAAATGTACCTTTAAATTTCCATGTGAAACGTTTAGGACTTTGATGGTAAGTGTTCGTCACTTTTTTGACCACCATCATGAATATGTCACTGTTCTGCCTTCGTACGCAAATATTAACCGCGTCAAAATAGGAGGTTAAGCAATTAAGGTTTGTGAATTACCAATCTAATTGATATCAAGAAGAAGTTGTTATGAGGATGTGGGGGAAGGTGTAGAGAGATGCAGAGGAGGTGAGGAGAGGTGAGGGAGAGAGAGAGAGAGGGAGTGAGAGAGGATGGTCGGGTGGGGGAAAATAACAGAGAGAGAATGAAGGGAAGTAAAGACAGAGAGAGAGAGAGACGGGGAGAGAGAGAGATAGATAAGCATTAGAGAAGGAGAGATGGATGAGAGGTAGCGGAAGAAAGAGGGAACGGTATACAAAGAAAGAGATAACTATTAAGAGTGGAGTTGAGTGGAGTTGAAGGACAAATTAGGTGAACGGAATGGGAACAAAAAATAATAAAAATCGAAGAAAGATATACATGTACATGTACCTTTATTCTATCTTTTAGGAGCAGATGATGCGGATATTAAGGCGGACTATACCAAGAAATTCGTAGCCAATGGATTAATCGTACCCTGTTCCCTTTAATTAGAGCTAGACATTTTAGACGCGTTAGATCACTTCGGATTTTCTGTGGTCTGACAAAATCCATACGGGGATCCGAATGACAAATGTCATCAGTGAAAATAGATTTGTTCAATTGTTGACGACTGCTTGTGAACGTCAATTCACTTATTAAGGTATTTCTATGAAGTGAGTGTACGCGGTTACTCACGACAATAACGAAACAATGATGACTTATTGTGTACAGTCATGGCTGTAGAGAGGGAGAGGGAGAGAAAGGCGGTGGGAGGGAGGAGAGGGGTGTGAAAGAGAGTAAGAAAGAGAGAGAGATAGAGAGAGACAGAGAGGTGAGAGGGCTTTATAATTTCAGTTTCACCACAGGCATGTCAACGAGCGAATGATCATTGAATCATTTTCAATTGTTCAGGAGAGAATCAGGCTTTACCGATCTAACTAAAGCACTCTGTATAACTTAAAGGATTATTCAAGAGACTATTCAATATTCTGATTTAAATTGAATATCTATCTACTGTAGAAGGATTGAAAATAGGTTTTTTGTTTTAAAGATGCATATCCCGTTGATACAACTCGTATCGCTGACCCTTAAATGGGAAAATAAAGTGACAACAAAGATGAAAACATACAACAAATAACATATTATATGGACTGGCGCCTTATGGTATACTAAAATTGAGTAACATTAAGTGGAATCACTATTCATTGCAGTAATGTGTAGTATTCTGATCAAATGGGATATGTGAACTCATTATCAGATGGTTTTTTGATATATGCAATGATATATGCTTACCAGCAGGTACGATGACCCTCTTCTCATTGGTGGTGACATTTGGTGGCGGTGACCTTCCCGTGGTACCCGCTGAAGCCGACCGTTCCTCGGGCGTGGAACCCGTGGTACCCAGGTACGGCTGTGGCGGACACGACGGATATGGTGGCGCGGCCTGTGTTGGCTCCGCGTTGATGGTGCCCTGTGGCGCTCCGTGGGGAGGAGGTTGCTGGCGGGGTTTCGCTACGCTACAATCCAACGGCGACTCGGGTCCCCCGCGACTGACCTGTGGCCCCGGGAGCCCATCGTGGGCACCGGAAGTGGGCTGCTCAATCTCTTGTTTCATCCTTTGGTCCTGTACGCACGAGCTCCAGATGTGGCTCTCGTTGGTGGGGGATGCAACCACGGATAGCTTAGGCTTGTGGACAGGTGTTGTCAGGATGTGGGTGCTGTGTGGCGACGAGACGATAGTGTTGGACTTATTCACCTCACGGTATGTGTTCTCAAATAGCGTCTGGTCGTCCGAGACTACCGATAATGCTTCCTATACAGAAAACATAAATGAGATGATATTCATGAGACGAAAATCAACAGTAGTATTCCTTATGACTGCACAATCAAATATTATTTGCTTCCCAATAATCATTGAGGTCCAATTAGGCATATAACAAATTGAGGAATACTGATCAGGCACTTCAGACGCTTTTGACTAAAGATAGTGTATTGTAAAATTTGCTAACTTGCGTAAAACCTTTGACTTCTTCCCGAGTCCGCGGTTGTCACAAGTGCCAATAAACGAGAGTATTTGAAAAGGAAATGTGCACGTAATGGAAGAGGAATTGAAAGTTCCTCGCTATATTTTGCACCCCACCACAATATCTGTCCAACTTCTCTATCTCTCCCCCCTCACCGCAAATCTTCTGAGAAGGGGAAAACGCTTAAAGATTGACCTCTACAACTCCTAGTGGAATATGGGAAGGCGAGACGCCACTAACCACTTCCGGGTCAATTAGGAACAAATTCGCTTGCCCTCTCGAGTGACGTAAAACAGACTCGATTCGACCGCTGTCAGCATAGATTGTATTATTCCAGGTTTGACAAATATTGTTCATCTGATCCTGCGGAAAAAAGACTCCTCATATGGTTATGATAACTAGGATATTGACCCTAGATGTATAAGCACAACTTTAACCTAGTTATAAGTGTCCATTTATTACATAGTACTTGAAAACAAAATAATATTATCAGGTAGTGCCCTTTTTATTAAGAATATGTGGGCGAACGGGTAATCAAAGAATTGTTGTTTTGAATTTTACACCATTTTAAGAAGCGTAAACAAAGAGAATAACAAACAAACAAACAAACACAAAGTCAAGGATAACCTTCAACCCTCTTGTGTATAAGTAAATGGATATGATCTAAAGAGGTTTAATGCATCCTTTGTTTTGTTTACGTAGGATAATCAGACAGTAGAAAGTGTGCATATGTAATGTATCTCCTCTTTCATGAGACGAAACACATATATCTTCAAGTTACAGCTGCGATATAGGGGTATTAAAGGGATCCGGTAACTTTGTCTCAGATTCTGAAATAAAATTCTGGATTTAGCTCATGATGCAATGATAATTATAAACCTTAAGGTCAGTCAGGAGCCCCATGACTTTTACAAGCCGATCGCCTGTCTGATTATCAAGATATTTATGATTGGAATTACAAATTTTGAAAACCGTTCGCCTGACGGTTTTCATAACACTACAGTCTATTGGGGAAAACGAGTATGGTAAAACCGGTCACTCAAAGATTTTTACTTTTTTGAGGCACTTCTTGATCATTTTGAAGCGCAATTTTTTAGGGCTTCAGTATTACACCATATCACAGACACTGATAACACTTAGGGCCGTGTATCTCAGATTTAACATTGGTAAACGATCCCTTTAAGAGACAAAATCAACAGCAAAAAGAACCATGAAGTTGAGCTTCGCCTCGAAAGTTATAACAAAAATTATATCAAAAGGAAATAAAAAAGGAAATTTTAATGCTTTACTTATCCAATAAACATCACTTCTTTGAACAAATCGACAGTATATATCACTTTAAAAAAATATTTAAGCATCTATATACAAAAAGAAATAAGTCCAAATAACAATCTTAAAAAAAAATATAAAAAAAATCATTTTTATATATGTTGAATTAATGTACGCAAAATACCAGAAAGGGGAAGAAAGACATTGGTCCCACGAAGTTCGAAGATGATGTGCTTTTAAAGTCCACTGGAAATTCTAAAGATGGCGGGTATATTTCAGTCATATTAATATAATAATAAGACTCTGCTAATTCCAGTAAGGTTGAGGGGAAAAGGCTAACTAAACAAAAATGATGTATGGATATAATGCAAAAGGTCTTCTTTCTCGCGGTTCTAGATCCGAATGCAATTAACACCACCTCGTCAGTGTAGTCCAGGCTCTCAATACATGTAGCTCGACGCGATCTAGTCCTATACTAGCAGCAGAAGAGTTAAGAGATAGTAACTACTAATCCAAATATAGCACTTCAAATGTAGGAGTAGCTTTAGAAAAAAGCCTTTGTCTAAATATATTCTCAAAAAGCGAATGATCTTCTTTGGTGCATCTCTGCCTCAGAAAGTAATTAACACGTCAACGGTTGGAGAGGTATCCTACATGCAAGTATCCCATGCAATCAGCCCTTACTGGCAGCGGAAGAGTTAATGGATAGTTTGACTATTGAGCCAGATATAGAACGTCTATTGAAGGGATAGCTATAAAATGGTTCTTGAGTATGACCTATGAGCTCTGTATACACACAGGGGCCATGTACACCGACACGATTTAGTTCGAAGGCGGAAATAAACATTGTCACCTCTTTCCGTCTACCCAATGGGGAAAAACTCTTAAAAAACAGGGAAAAACCTTTAGTTCCCCCTCCTGCTGCAGTGTATCTCTATACAAAAAAGACAGTTATACTTGTTATCATGAAAGTTCCAAAGTCACGAGGACTTTGTGCAAGATGGTGATAATGTTTTAATCTTAAAGGAAGATCTCTTCCTTGATTATAATCAAAAGATTAATAACACCTCGTTGGACGCGTAGTATCAGCGCGCAATGTGTGTTGCATTTCGGAGTATCAATACGGAAGTAGCGAAACACTGGTGTGCCTCTGTTCCTTAACTTGTATTGCTTTATTATCATTTTGGGGGTAAAGTGTAGCACACATCTAAACTACAGATTCAGGAGTTCAAAATGAAGTATGGAAGCGTTTGACACAAATAAATATTTGTTTTAATCGAATAAAAGCAGAAGTGAATTTAATATTGGTCTTCTAGGCATATCATATTTTATACTGAATTGTATATAAAAAGCGCTCTATGTGAATAAATATGTGTATAATAAAACAATAGGCCTATATAAAACATTAGTGTAAAGAAATATATTTATTAAAAAAAGTCTCATTGGGACGATTTTTTTTTTCATTGTATTTTTATAAAATTAAAGAGATATTCATATTAAAACAATGGTATTGCCGTTTGCTTGTACATTATTATCGAAATCATTTCATCGTTGTATTATAATATAGTGACAAAACTGAACCTTAAACATTCCATTATAAATTGTTCTCTTCTATCTTCTCATTCTCCTATAATGACTCCCATTCTTTACCATATCTTCCCATTTCTCTTTTTCTTACATCCACCGTCTATATCATTTCATTGTTTTGTATTATATACTTAAGTTCCCTTTTTTACATGTAATTTCGAAATCAGCCAGATTAAATGCAATACAGAGTTTTGCTCGTGTAGATATCTTTGTTATTCATGAATATCAATTTTGTTGATATGCTATGTTTTGTTTAAGTATTGTTTTTTCTTGTGAAATAAAAAGAAACTAAACTGAAACTGAACTTGAGTTCACTTATTTTTGTAAATATCTGTATGCCCTTTTTTCTACATATAATTTTGAAATTAGTCAGTGTAAATACAATACAAACTAACATTGTGTATATGTCTTTGTTTCTCATGAATATTAATTTTTTTTTTATTATGCCATGTTTTTTTAAGTATTGTTTTTCATGTAAAATAAAAGAAACTAAACTGAAACTGAAGTTAAGTTCACTTATTTTTTAAATATCTGTATACCTTGCAACACAACAAAAACAACAGAAAATATATAAAGTAACGTTTCATCGCTGTAGTTAATGGTGTCCCTTAAAAATTTTCTTGAAAGGAATGTTTTGATGAGCGAAACAAATTTGTTTTCTATATTACGGTGATGTTCAGAAGTACTCAACCATCGTGTGTTGAAAGAAATAAACCAATCCAGAAAGTTTTCTTGCGAAAACAAAACTAGGCCGGAAAATCATTATCAACCCGGCACGCGACCCGGGGATAGGTTACTAGAAGATGCGGTTTAGTTTGCGGAGCGATCGGGAAAAAACAACTGAAAACAACTGGAAACGTTTTTTTTTTTCTTTTCTTTTCTTTTTTTTTTCTTCAGACAGTCCATTAAAATGGTATAATGTTAATGTTTGTTGTATTAGCCGGGTATAACTTTCGATTCAAATCTTGTTTCTATTGGTGCTCAGGATGTGAAGGTGAGACAAAAGCTGTAAAACACGATGAAAAGTTATACATTTCTTTATATATTCTTTTCAAATAGGTAGACTTTCTCTAAGTTTCGTATAGATATAGGATTCGATTTGCATTTACATGATCGACATGATTAAAAACTGTTTGTTATGCCTTCTAATATTTAAACATATTGTGTTTCGGTCTCACATCCCAAGTTTAAATACATATTTAACTACCTTCAATAATGAAATAAAAAGAAAATAATGATACACAAAAATGTATGTTAGGGGTTATTAAGAGAGTAAATAATTTAAAAAAAGATGTTCAATACACGATCGTTTTGGTCATAAGTTATTTAGAGTATCCTATAGTCAGGTACCTAAATGAGATTATGTGCTAGCTGTAATGTCATTTTCATTATTGACCGACATAATTCATGCAATATGAGATAACAAAATCGCCTAAAAACATAGTTTAATGCATCTTGCTAAATACCAGAATTATATTGAATTATTAGGGATCGCTGAAGCACTAAATTACCATAACGTTTTAAAATTGGGAAAAAGCGTTTTAAAAAAACCGAAGAAGTTAAATCAAAATCAAGTACCTGCAAGAAACTGGCATTTGGGAAAATTATTCGCGTATAAATACCGCGATGAACAGAATTAAATACCAGTCAGCGAATAGCGGATTAACGATGCTTACGGATCGCACGTCATTAAACGCGCATCTTAATCCTCTCTTAATCCCGATTAACAGGTTAAACCCCTTTCACTCCGCCGCTATGCTGAATAAAGGCACGCGCCTTTATCAAGTGCGATTTAAGAAAAGGTTGAATTCTGGTCATGTCATTATATTATTGTGCAAGAAACTGTCTAAAAAAGATGGGAAAGGGTGATTATTTAGTATATACATAACAAATTGTATTTACTATAAAGTTATGGAATGAAAAGGAATTACCTCAATATTGCTGAAAATCATATCCATTGACTGTCGAAAAGTTTGGTAAAAATCTAAGGTGTTTCTTGTTAATAATGGATAAAGGGGATTCGTTTGAAAACCAATGTGTTTCAGAGAACATTTTGTAATGTCTTCCCAAACTAATATCAAAAGAATAAAAAAAAGCTTAGAAGAAAGAATATCTTCCTTTGTACATGTTTAAGCAAACCGGAATAGAATACAAACACAAAGGTTGCGTGCAAAGCAGGTCAGAGGTCGCGAACAATACAAGATGCCCTCGATGAGATAACGGTTATCAATAATACCCTGCTTTCCACGGCTAGCCTATTCAAGAGTTGTTATACACCTTTTACAAAAGCCACAGACAATGACCTTGTCCTTGTATATGCCACCGTATATAAGAATAGAAGTGAGTATGTTTACATGTGGTACAAGTATGCTGGTTCGGGATAAGATGAATGAAGTATGTAATTTATTATTGAATAGGATTAGGGGTATCCTACTTTTTACATTTACATTGAATCAAATAAATTCACACGGGGATGAGAGACACGCATGTTTATCCCGGTAAATGTGTATGTTTACATTATTGAAGTAGGATGGTGGTGATTGTCAATATAAAATAAATTAGAATTACCAAAAAGAACAAGGGGTTTTACTTATTCTTAGCGGGTTACGCTTTTGAATATGTTAACATCATTCTTTTCTCGTGTATTCATAGTGCTGTGAATTATGCATATCTACAATTTTAGTACTGCATTTTGTTGACGTTAGCATTTAAAACTTTCTAAGAAAATATATGAACTTAAAAGAACGCTATTTGTAACATGGAATATGGTTTCGACTTTGATTCTATTTTATTGACGACGACCCATTAAAACATTTAAATATCATCATAATAATGAGTCATACGAAATATTAATGTCATTTTCCATTGAAAGCTTAAAGATGAAGTTGAGTTCTGGTCATGCGATTGCATTGTGAAAGAAACGATGTGGAATCGACCAGAAAAGGTTGATCATTTAGCATATAAGAATTTGTGTGTATTGCAAGGTTCTAGAATCATCAAAATGGTAAGAAATTTGGCCAAGTCTTGGTAAAGTTACAAACACTGTACACAGAAAGATGTATATGGGACTACATGAACACGTGGCGTAAAAATCCTACCCCCGAGTTTTACGATGTTACTGACATATTTAGAATATAAAGACATTTGAAGAGCCATGCTTTTCAGGGGACATGTCTTATCTGATGATCTTCCACACTTGCATAATAAGAATTATTACGCTCACAAATTATTTTTCACCTCTTCCCAGAACTCAACCTTCTCTTTAATAAGTGTATAGGCTTGTGATATCATATAGTCATCAGTCATTGTATTCATCGATTTAATATTTCAGTATGACTTCACAGTTACAAGGCGTATATACGTTAATGCATAGATGCTCTCCCCCACCTGTCTTATCTGAACATACATAAATAAGTAAGTGCGTACATCTTCCTCTGTTTTTTCTTCGTGATTTCTAATTATGTTGTAGGCGTATTATCACCATGCTTTACTGTTATTTTCCTTCTTGTTTTTACCAATTTCCTTTCCCCACGATTCTGTGTACATCTCCATATTCGTGCAGTACTTGTTTTTCAACTCTTTCCCATCATTACCTTGACTAATTCTCTGCTTCCGAGATAAATAAGATAATTTGACTTAATTAAAAACGAGCACGTCACGCTTAACCATTTCACTTTCTTTGTGTACATTTGGAGTTCTTTACTGTGCTTTCAGCCATGTAAATATGCAATTTACCTACGATGTGTATATTATCTATGTTGATAGCAATATATATATATTAACTAGACTACGTGCTTCTCTACTGTATTATAGAGAAGTAAGTAAAGAGGTGTAATATAAGTACAATGCGACTATTGTCTATATGGTGTTAGTATGACTATTCACCTGCATGGCTGATAATTGATCCTATATTACAAAGATGTTATAAACCTACTTACTGCACAGATGTAATATTTAACTTCTAACTGTAGTCATGTAATATATAACTACTTACTTGAGAGATGCTGTAATATAACTATAACGTGACTACTCTGTATAATGTCTATATTCACCTGTTAGGTAGCATTGCCATAACGTTAGAATGCAACTAGGCCGTTTTTGTTCAGCGCCTACAAAGTCAAAGCGATAATTGACACTTTAGAGGTTCACTTCCGGTCAATTGTGAGCAATTAATCGCGCCCCAGCGGAAGACTTAGTTTTGCTACAAAGGAAACTCATATTTTACCCGGAATATCGCAAACAAAACAAAGGATCAGGACTAATAAACAGACCATACTTTCTGGAAAAAAAAATCAACGATTTGTATAATATTTCGTATGTATGAATATTAGTCCCTAAAATGCTTACTGATGTATCAAACATTTTGTTTATATGGACGCTTTACAGGTCTCTTTTTCCTGAAAGCAATTTTATGAGATATATTTAAACGTCAGATACGTAAGTAAGCTATGGACTAGACTACAGCAATTCTAGTTTTATTATACATTCATGATTATTATCATAATCATTATCTTGGGTTTCATATACAAGAGCACAATAGTAGGCTTTGATTTTCTATCAAATCATCATTTTAAAGTGCATTATATTTATGAATTTACTCTGTAAACAGTTCAAATAAAATCGAATATATTATAATGAAAAGGTTCGCTGTACGTCGTAGTCAATGGGGCAGGTGGAAATGAGAGTATAACGAAAAGGTATAAAACCATAATAAAGAACCGATGCGATTATGCGTGTGCATGTGTTAGATCAATCCATAATGATGTATTTATAATATATACACATATAAATAAATCAGATATCCAGTATTTATGACAGATATCTTATTTCATAAAATTATCAAACAAGTGTGTATAATAAAATAGTGTTATTTTGCATGAACAATAGAAATCATACAAGTAATATTGCAATAAGTATTGATACACAACGAGGTAGCTAGGAAACCAATCGTGCAAGACAAATTGCCTCTAATTCATCTCCATAACCAAACACATTGTATCTGCAAGTGTAAATTATTTATCCGTCATGATTTCGTTTCTGCGTCTTTGCTTGATTCTCCATTTCTTTATTTGATATGTCTATTTTTTGTGTTACTCTTCACATTTTTCATTGAAGTATGTAGATTAATTTGCTCTATAATCCTCATCTTCAAGGTGAATGAATGTAACCATTTCCGACGCTTTTACAATGAGAAAAAAAAGCCTTCAAAATCTGAAAAAAGGATAGATCGATAACCGAGAAAGGCAATAAAATGAGTCGGTGACATATTGACATTAGAAAAATGCAATTAGCTAGAAAATAATACAATTAATGCATGATACTTAAAGCTAACACTATTTATAAAGAAGCATAGAGTCATGGAATTGAACTTTTTAGCCATAAATAACAGCATGATAGTATTTTTGCACTTTACTTACAACTTATTAATTTCACAATAGTCCTGTACATTAATTTAATATTATAATGTTTCATTACCACGCACAGGAGTAAAAATTATTACTCGCGATGATGCTAAAGCCCCTACTGATTGAAATAACATGTTTTAGTCGATCTTAAATATATCAACGAAGTTGACGTGAAATTGAATTTGTAAAACATATTTCTATTTTTCAAAAGCTACAAATGGCAATGATAAACCTGCGGGGATTTAAATGTATGAGGAGGGGGAAATGTCATTCTGGAATAAAATATATATTTATACATTCATGGCTACAAAATATCACCTGTCGCGTATAAATGGGTCGGGTAATATATTGAGTTTCCAATAGCAATAAAGCCCGGATCGAAATTTCAAATCCTTCCATCTTCGAGTCAAAACATGCACGTATATTACATAGTACACTCCAACACAATGAGATTTTATTTCGTAAAAGTATGAATTTTAATAATAATTTTGCATCTGTAATCATATTCACGTAGACACTCGGTTTAAAGCTAAACAAGTATGGGGATACGGCGACAGATTTGATAGAACCCGTACAGGGCCGCATTTCCGATAAAATATATATTTAATAGAAATGAACAGATATTATAGGAAATATAACTATACAAATAAGTTTGAATTGTGATACATGAGGCTGGCATTCCGAATGAATTCATCGGCATTTTTTGTGAGTGTACTAAAAAAGATTATGTAAACACAATATATCCATAATCCATTATGTACTTAGAAAACGTTTGTACGTGTTGATGCGTTTGTTGGTTTAATAATGTTTGGTTTACATTAAAGAAAGGTGGACAATTCTAAAGACTTTTTTATTAATATTATTTCTTGACAGCTACAAATGATATTCTGCAAATCCCGAATAGTCGATTACGTTGCTAAATGAAGAACGAATTGATGTCCACTCACTCTCGGACTAACGTGAGAATATAATTACTAGAATAACGACAACCGAACGCACCGAAGAAGACAAAATCTCCGAAAGCCCACACTGTCCAGTAATGATAAACAAAACTAGACACTTACCCTTTTTACGAAGTATAACGATCCCTCAAAGCTCCAATAATCATGAATAAATAATCACCAGTCATATACAACGTCGCTTATCTCAAAAGGTAGACGAATAATTATACACCCGATATTGCACGAACCCCCCTTTGGCAACAAGAAGCGTTAAACTGAATGGGTATCCTCCTTGACTGTCTCGTTTCATTGCCCCCTTCCTCTTCTTCCTAAAATCTGAGCTTGCAGTAACCCGTGTGCACACTACAAAACTTTTAAGGGAGACACTTGAAAAGAAGTTTTTTTGAAAGAAAAGGGAAAGAGCGCCGGCGATTTTTTAATGACCGGACGTCATTTAAGTGGTCGCTAAGAAATTACTCGTCCGGTGTGTGCGTGTGTATGCGTGTGTGAAATAACGGCATAAAAATAGCGTGTGTGTGGGTTTGTGTGTGTATTTGTTTCTCTCTCTCTAAAAAGCGTGCGCGCATAGACTGTATTGGGATGTAAGGAATACAAATCGTTACTCTTTTTGTGGAGAAATGTCTTATAAACTGAGATACAACGGTTGTTTAAGGAGTTGCAGTCAAACTGTAAGATCTAGATTTGGCGTAGCGATTCCTTCCTTCTTTTTCTTCTTCTTCTTCTTTTCCTTCTTCCTCTCCTTTTTTTCTTCTTCATCTTCATCTTCTTCGTTTTTCATTTAAAGCCCCATTGCACTACTTGTAGCTACTTGCGCCCTCTATATACATGTAGCAAACAAAGGCTAATCGGTGACTGTTGGTCCCCCATGTTCCTCTTTTTCTTTTAAATTGAGAGCTGATTTGATGAGATAACCACCTGTCAGTGACCTTGCATGGAGGTCTACTCCCTCTTGCCAAACTAGTGTAGACGGGATTTAATCAACCTGCTGATCTAACTTACGTATTTATTTGTTGCTACGTCGGGCAAGCTTTTGTTATCAATAGACACTTTTGCTTTAAAAAAGTAAGCATGTGCTAATATTCTATCAATAGATAGATAGCCCTGAAACCTCTTCTAAATATTGTTATCTTCGTGGCAGGTTGCAAACGTCAAGCTTTCTCCTTAACACAACCAAGTCCTTAAAGACGGACATCATAATGGATTGCGTGGTGGTCAGATTTTATGGGGTTTAAGGTGTTAAGGTATCCTTCGGCTTTTTCTTTGGTTCGCTCTGGCCAAGGGTCCGTTATGTCCGTATGTTAACGGAAATATATCTGTCTATACATCTGTCTATCAATCAATATATCTCTATAATTATCTGTCTAACTAACTAACTATCTCTTCTCTAACCCCCCCCCCCCCCCCCCCCCATGCAGCACGTCCTCTCTGCCTCTTTCTCTCTCTCTCTCTCTCTCTCTCTCTCTCTCTCTCTCTCCGTGTATCTTTCTCTCACTCTGCCTCAATCTCCCTCCCATCCTCTCATGGTGACCAGAACTTGAGGGGTTTAAGGGGTTAAGGTATCCCCTGGCCGAGGGTCCGTGGAGGGGTTCAGAGCGGAAATCGTCATTTCTTATCAGGCAAAGCAGCGCGTCTTTACTTGAACAGGAAGCTAAATAGCATATGACGTATTATCCCGGGTCTTCTCCACTCTCTCTCTCTCTCTCTCTCTCTCTCTCTCTCTCTCTCTCTCTCTCTCTAACTATCTAACTATCTATATATCTAGCTAGCTATCTCCAATCCTTTTTGATAAACCTAAATTATATATCTCTCTCTGTCTTTGTACATTGTATATCTCTTACACTCTTACAAGTTGGTTGGTTGGTGGGTTGTTATTTACCTGACTGCTAAGAAAGCATAAATGCTTGTTATTATTAAACAACCAAAACGACCGACGGATTTAGGTCCTCTCCGAAGGGACCTGGTAATGGGGATTAATGCCTTACCAAAGGGTATAGCGCATCGACTTGGTTTCGAACCCGGGTCGCCGGATTACGAGACCACTGGTCTATCAACTGAGCTATCGCCCCTATATCTACCCATCTTCCTCTCCATCTATCTATCTATCTCTCCTCGACCTCAAAGTAACCCCCCTTTCCCCCTTTATAAATGACGAAAGGTCGGAGATGGGTAATGCTGGATCGAGAAAGGGGGTTGGTGCGTGCCAAGATCGGGAGCTAATGCTTTCCAGGAGGTGATGCAATGGATAGATGCATAGATAATTGGTAGCAAAATAAAAGGATAGAATAGACATAGGCCTATAGATAGATAGATAAATAAATAGACGAATTAAGGTAAGGTAAATGTTTTTTATCATTCGCAGCCAACGGCTAATATGCAGAATTTGCAAAGCATATACCTGAAATAAATCAATCTTGATTAGTTTACATAATCAAATTTTTCAATAGATAGAAGACGTAATACTTAAAGGGATAGTTGAGTTCTTGTGTCAGACCGCAAATGCCTTCAAAGTAGGGTAGAGAATAAGAATGTTACGTAATCAATGTGCAGTCATCACTCATCATTGCGTAATAAGTGAATACCATTTTCTTGCGCCCCTAAGCCTGTGGCAGTCTCGCAGTCTCCATCACATTAGGGCAAACCATTGTCAACACACTTTTAAAACAAAGAGTGAACAATCATGTAGATAATGTCCGTCGCACACGTGGCGTCATTTGCTGAGATAGGGTGATGCGTCAAGGAATTGTTGTTGTTGTGACTGACGCTTGCATTGACACACCATGCTATAGTTGCATCGAACAAAACATTAACGCAAAAGGTTTGATAGTAACATTGCTTCGGGTTAATGGCTCATGTACTGATTGTCTTGAACAGGTCGAACTAGGGTGGTTAAAAGCAACAATGGCGCATCGAGTGTTCTTGCGTCAGCAGTCAAGTTTGCCTGCAATCAGTCACATAGCTTGCGTAATGACTGAACATAGTGTTTAGAACACGCATTGGATAAGGCTTGATACGGAAAAGTACGTCGCAAAGCATTTTCTAAAGATGATAACGTTCGTTGAAAATAGGAGTCAACAACAAACTCGGTTAATGTCAATATGATTTTAATTGTCTGTCTAAACTATATATGATCACAATTCTGCTTTGATTTGTTGTGTTTCGTTTCTATTATAATAATAAATCTGTTTGGCCAAGAAAGTTGCATTACAAATCAGATAGGCAACAACACCTACTTTACAAGTATAGATAATGCAACACCAGGAACGGAAAAGGGTAAACCTGTAGAAGCAGGGGTTTTGTCACTCCAATGGTTATTTACATACATACTGTTCAAATTGAGAATTGTACTGAAATACAATTAATGTAATTCCAGTAATTTATGCTTGTATAGATATATGCTGTCTAAAAGAATTTGAAAGGGTCCTTTAAATCCATCTGAAGCTAATTTTGGACAGCGCAATACTGTGGAGACATAGTACAGTCAGCTATAAATACAGAGACAGGTGAAAAAGCGCGCGCTTTTCACCCCTTAGCGCGCCAAACAATAGATCGACAGGTGAAATGTACGAGACGTTCGTGTGTGATGTGACTACATAAATTAACGAGAGACGAATTCGGTATGTCATCAGAAATAATGTCTGGAGGAGTGGAGTATGTCCATTAACCCCGATAGAAAAGTGACATACATACGTGACAAATATACATCAATGGAGTAATAAATATATGTAAAGCCCATTTTTTGTTTTTTACATGTTGAATTTGTGTAAAGATATGAAAATATGCATAAATGTAACATCGTTTCGATTGAGACATAGTTCGTTAGCAATTTCACTCCTAACGATTCGGATCGACTCATCAAAATCAATATAGTAGAAGACTCAGATAATTTTCCCACAAGTCTCATAATAACGTAATCATAGTTACGTTTGACGAGTATATACATTTAACTTAGAAAGATTTTTCGGAATCTTCTTCTTCTTCTTATCGAGAAGAAGAAGATTGGGGCTCATGGATAGATATAACTTCGCTCATAACGACTGTCGGTTTATAATGATCCACATTCCCATACTGAATTGTAGGAAGCTGATATTGATCGAGTATGAGGAATTTAATATGCAATACATATGATTACATTGGGTCATAGGTAATCCAATATAGCAGGATATTTTGGTAGGATTAAGAAGTGGAATCAGTTGAACGAAAGGTAGATTTATATAAATATATCATCATAAAATTAAAGCAAACGAGACGATACGATAAAAAACAGAATCTTCAAGGGAAATCTTCTGGGGCATTGGGTTCAAGTTGAACTACATGCTCCAGGAAAACATTTACCCACCCGCATACACCTGTGTTTCCCTACTGCGACCGGGCTTCTTACCCCGGTCTTTAGGGGGGAATTGAACCCGGGCTAAGCCAGGATACCGGGCTTAGCCGAATTTCCTTCAAATTTTGACTCGCCAACTTGCAACAAGAAAAAATTCCCTTTCCGTTACTTGACGACATAATTAGACCGGATTACTATATTATTACCTTGCACAATTTTTCCTCTCTCAGCTTTTCGTTTTCCTTTGAGTTGTTGGCATCTTTCAAAAAGAATCCTTAAGATTCCGTTATCTGATCAGTGAGGTGGGTGCTTAATTGCTCTATATTATGTTTGAGCGACGTATTCAAAGGATAAGGTCATATAGGTTGAGTGTCGAAGAATCTCTGTTAGATGTTAAAAAGAAGGTCGATTGAAGTTGAGAGATCATATCGGGACGGGAAGATATAATTCTATTAGGAAACAAATCGAATTTCTGATAATTTAATGGTGTTCCGTGATTTGTTAGAAAAAAGAGCAAGTGTCAAATTCATTTACACGAATTCATTTTTATTTCTCCATCCGGCTTCCTCTTTTCTTCCTTTTCCTGCTGCCCTCATCTCACTCAAAAGCCCCCCCCCCCCCTCTCTCTCTCTCTCTCTCTCTCTCTCTCTCTCTCTCTCTCTCTCTCTCTCTCTCCTTTCTCTCTTTCTCTCCTTTTCCTATGCCTCTATTTTCTATCTCGCTAATAAAAGTCTCTCAAACTTTCGGTCTCATTAGATATCCTCCCCTTCTCCTTTTATTTCTCAATATTTCTCTATTTCATCTATCATCTATCATCTATCTCTATGTATCTATTTATATATCTTCCTATGTCTCCGTCTGTCTCGTATGTCTGTCTCTGTCTCTGCGTCTCTGTATCTTTTTTTTTTCTCTCTCTCTCTCTCTATCTCTATCTCGCTCTCCTTCTTTCTGTCTCTGTATGTCTGTCTCTGTCTCTGCGTCTCTCTCTCGCTCCCTCTTTCTCTCTCTCTTCCTCTCTCTCTCTCCTTCACTGTCCAATTCACACTTCCAACGCTCCCTCCCTCCCACCCTCCAACCTCTCTTTGCCCGAGTTCTCACCGGGTGACCTACGGTGGT